CGAGTAGATTACGAATTACGCGTTGTCAATGCACTGTGAGTTCCGACTTTGAAGAGAATCAATATCAGCCAATTGACTCAATAGTCAGTAGCCGATGCAAGTACTCATGCAGAAGTGGAGAAGAAGAAAACGACAATAATTAGTATAATTATCCAACGAGCTACGACGATTAAGCCGAATTAGCGCAAAATAATTTGATCTGAACTTTAAAAATAATGGTCGATCAAAACCCATAGAACTAAGTGGTGGGGAGAGGAATTAAAAGATATATGTCGTTGATATATTACAATAATTTGAATACGACCATGAACGATTTGTCATGATACATTTTACAGTGGTGAACAAAAATAATTATCTTCTTACTTTCTATGAATATTTCACAATTCGATCAGATCAAAAATTCTAGTACTAATAAAAACTTTTTTATGTGACAACAGTAGATTTGTGTGGTTTAGTTCTGTGAGGTCATTTTGAATAGCAGGCATAAATAAAATTATTCGAAACAAAAGCTTAAGGCTCATCTGATAAAATCGCAGCAGCTTCATGTTAATTGCTCGAACTGTTTAAGAGATATTCAAGTTTTTCATATAATCAAAATGTCAATATATACCATTGATCACATTTCTTTTACTTTTTATGCAATTTAACTTCATATAGACTCAAAGAAACAGTGAGCTAATTGTTTAAGCCTTATAGCAACACTATGAAAAAAAAATTGATAGATTCATTTTCGTGTTTGTACCTTTTACTTTGCACTGTTTTTAATTACTGAACAGAAGGATTCTTCCAAGCACAGACGAAGATCTTATTCTGTTGTTTAAAAAATAGGAATTCATGTTTATACAAACAGAACTAGGAAATAATAAAATTATAATTTCATGTCTTGTTGATGGCTCAAATCAGAGATGAGCACAGGACGGGGCGGTGCGGCCGTCCTGTATCCTGTCCTGTCCTGTCCTGCAGGACAGGACGATACTAAAATTTTTGTCCTGTCCTGCTGAGCGGCAGGATAGGATTACACGGTGCGGTGACCAGGGCAGGATGAAACTAAAATTCCGGTCCTGCCCTGCTGAGCGGCAGGATGGGGTTACACAGGACAGAACAGGACCNATATTCATTCTCATTTATTCTTATTGTAATGTATGCACGAATGACTTCTTCTTCGTCGACATCGGAAAATGAGTTCCGAAAGTATTTTTATGAACAAATAAATCAGTATTTTAAATTTTTGGAATATTAAATTCCAAGACAAGACAACTATTATTCCATCACAGAGAATATATTAGCTAAAAAAATGTACTAAACCACACAAATATTAGCTGTTTTCATAGAAACAGATTCGATGCAATTCAATGTAAATATTTTTGACTATAGATATCTCCAAGGATATTGAACGTACATTAGTTCAGTAGTATAATATCAATAATTATAAGTTAAAGCAATATATTTCTTTTTATTTAAATAGATTGTTGATGAAAAAGTTCAATGGTATGGACAACCAAAAATTGATACAGGTCTTCTAACCTGATTCCAATCAAAAAGTATTTGTATATTTTTTCTTTTATGCTTTTTCTTTTCTTTATTTCTTTTTTCTTTATAGTATGCTGATTATGGGTTGACTACTTGATCAATATATATGAATTTATATAAATTATTATTCTTTTTTTTTTTCTTGATTTCCACTTGATTCTGTCATATTTTCAAATTTGCATCAAACATACATAAAGCATGTAAAGATTGTGAAAGTTCTTCATCGTACTCTTTATTATGGTATACTATTGAATGGCTTCTGTCAATAAAAGAAGCGTATACAGTCGACCTAACATGTCTATGTGATGATGAGAAGAAGAAAAAGAACGAATGGGATATATATATATACATATATGTATATCACGACCTTGATCTATTATTTAAACGAATATAGAAATAAAATAAAAAACTAACGAGAAGCATCACACAAAAAAAAACACATAATATTTCACACTAAAATAAATACTATCAAGAAAATACTGAGAATAAAATTATTTGAATATATTCGTGTAGCGGAAGAATAATAGTGTCTATTTCTTGAGAGATTTATAATTGATCGAATAAAACTATTATAAGTGCCTACACGTGTATAAATTCCAGGTGTATTCGGTTTACCACTACAAAAAAAAAAAAATTAAGAATTTATTTTTTATTTTTAATATAATTGAAAATCTTACCATGACTTTCCGAATGATGTAATACCTATTATTTCCCAACGGCTATCTGAATTTTCTACCATTAATGGTCCGCCTAAGAAGAAAAAAAAACCCATAAATTATTATTAAAATAGATATTCATTAACAAAAAACAACCTGAATCAGCTTGACATGTGTCAATTCCACCATTAAGTTCTCCTGCACAAATTTGTCCTTGAACATGAGTTACATATATATTACATGGCCACTTTGTTGTTTCAAGAATAGGTAAAACAACTTGTTTAAGTGATGTAGATGGACGACCACCAAATGATGTTGAACCCCAACCAATTGCTACTGCAGAAGATTTTTCAGGTGGATAATTTTTTCCCATAAGATTATCTGGTGGTAAACAAATTGTTCCAATACGTGGATCATTCTCAGGTAATGGTGAAACTAATGTTAGTATTGCTACATCATTAGCAAATGTTTCTGAATCATATTGAGGATGTACATCAATTGATAATGCTGATATTGGAGTTTTTTTCTCATTCGTATTATGAATACCAGCTAATATATTGATATCTGATAATCCTTTAAAATCTTCTATACAATGTGCAGCAGTTAAAACGTGACGTCTTGTTAATAGAACACCACCACATAAATGTAAATTATTTAATGATCGTTTAGCTAATGAAACCATCCATGGATATGAATGTGGTACAGCATTTTGTCCACCCATAATACGTCCAAATCGATTTGTTACTTGACTTCTTCCACAAGCCCAATTTGATAGTTGATCATTTTGTTGTATTGGTAAAGCATTTTTATAGAAATTTGATGATGGTACATCATTATTTGCCCAATACCATGAATAAGCTGATGGTTGTTGATTTGATGAATAATACCATTTTTGACCATCAATTGTTTGTCCTTGTTTTTGTTGTTGATAATAAAATGATGGTTTATTAAAAATAGTTTGATATTGTCTTATAGGAGATTTATTTCCAGCATTAATTATTGTAATATCAAAAATAATTAATTGTAGAAATAAAATATTGAGCATGATTAATAATAAATTTTTCGTTTCTTTTTTTTATACATCAACCAACCGTTTTTGTCAGTTGACATATCTTTTACAGTGACATTATTTTACAGCATAGAAAAAAAAACACTACCGAGAGAAAAAAAAGAAAGTCCTTTTTAAATATAATTATTTTACGTACTCCTGTTCCGTTCTGTAATGTTATGACAGAAAGAGAAAAAGAATGTATTTTTTTTTCATGTTCGCCTTTCGTTGTCACCGATTTGGTTGCAAATGAAGGAGTCGATTGCGTTATTTTAATAATGAATGCCGTACGGTGTTGAACGTATACAATTAATGCGCACAGCTGTTTTATATGTGCTATTTCCTTTGTCCTTGTTCATTGTAGGCACTAAGATTTTTTTTTCTTTGTTCTATTTAATATAAGTCAAATTATATTTAACGAAAAAAAAAAACAAAAGTCAGCATATTGCATTGAATGAATCTTATCTTGATTGAAAAATGGTGTCATAAGAATTATTTAATAAAAGCATTGAAGTGTTGAGTGACTGTTTTTTTTTTCAAGTTGATCTGTCTTTTCGCTGAATTTAACCTGTAAACAAATGATGTATAATTATTTTATAATTTATATATATATATGTATATTGATTGCAATCATTTAACACTTTCAAGGAGAAAAACTATGCATGAATGTCTAAAAAACGTACAACATTAGATAACAGGTAGATAATCAGGCATAATCATATGATGATTACTCTATATAAGATAATGAGCCTATATGCAGTAAGCCATATAATGAATTTTGATTGTTAGCAATAATATGACATAAATAGTAATTGGTTAGCATTCATTTTTATTTTGGTCGCTATTATAATTTCAGCGCCAGGCAATTGGATTAGTTGCAATAACAAATTTCAGAGATCCTGATCATTAGTTGACAATAGTCATTCTAAGAAAGTTAGTCAATCAGATACCAATGCACAGCGTCAATGTGATGATTCATCAACTGGCAACGGTCACTTTTAAGGAATCAGCCAATTAAGTAATAAGGATCAACTTGAAAGGTTTCGACAATAAGGTAACAAAATGTAGCATTTTTTTTTGATCGTCCAAAAGTTTCAATCCCTATCTGTAACTTGACGCTATTTATTAAGTAAGACTGAGCATAAACTAATTAAAGGTTCAACTTACTTTCTATAATGCTGGATACATGCAATTTTTATTTATCTTTCTGGTTTCCTTTAAGTTTTGTCTTGAAAACAAGATCAAAATTTTTTGTGATATTCATATTCTTGTAAAGCTTGTTGAACTCTATTGAAACATATAAAAAAATTCTACAAAAAAACAATTTTTGTCTTCAGATCTTACAGGTATATTTAATTTTTACAAAAAATGTAAAATGTTTAGTTATGATTAATAAAAACAACAATAATTTTTAACTATCTATATATGTATTCATATAAATAACGTTAATTTAGAAACAGAAATCGAAAAATTTGAGATATTCTTTAGTTCAAGATTAGAAAACGGTATTTGATTAGATAAACCTTGACATAGATTCGAGATTAGATATCTACGAAAAAATGTTCTTTCAATTTAGAAGAACATCATAGTCAACGTGCATAAGTATTATGTACGACTGAGAACTACTTTGACAAATTGATGTTAGTTCTTGTTTATTATTGTACTTATTATATCTTCAATTATATAATTGTAATAAAATAAGAAAAAAAACCTCCATCTTTTTCGAAAATTTTTATTCGTTGAAAAACAATTTAATTTGATTTATGTTATTCTAAATATAGAACTATACAAAGTAATAATAATAAAATTTGAATTGGCATTTGAATTATTAAGGACTGAGATGAAGAGTTTATCTTATCATTGATCCAATCAATGAACATGCTCACGCGTGTATAAACACCTGGATATTTAGCTTTAGCACATCCATACCCATATGAAGTTATACCAGCAATATACCATGTACTTGTATTCATATCCAAAATCATTAATGGTCCTCCACTAAAATAATATAAAAATTATTTATTTTATGTTAATAATTTTCTTTAACCTATCTCCTTGACATGTATCTTTTCCACCTTGAATAAGTCCGGCACAAAATTGAACATGTTCATCACTTATTTGTCGAAAACAATATTGATTTCTATTTGAAATAATTGGCAATTCAACTTGTTGAAGTGCATATGATAGTGAGCCATTTTCTTCTAAACGTCCCCAACCAACTGCAATACCATGCATATATTCATATGGATATATTGATATATTATTTGGTGGTAAACAAATAAATCCAATTTTTGAATTGCTTAGATCAACTTTATGTGAAAGTTTTAATACTGCAATATCATTTAAAAATAAATCCTTATGATAATTTTCATGTAATACAATCGATTGAATATTAAAACGAATTAGATCTGTTTCATTGATGTAATGAGCACCAACAACAACAAAATAATTTGCTAGAAATAAGTGATTTTCATCATAAAAACAATGTGCAGCTGTTAAAACATATTGTTCATTGATTAAAGTTCCACCACAAAAAGCAGTACTAGGATCTGTTGGTGGTAGATGAATATTTGCTCGATGTATACTAACTATTTCAATAGAAACCTAAGTTTAATTCAAATAATAATAAATACTTGCCAACCCATGGCCAAGAATGTTCTCTAGCTGTGTAACCTCCTATAATTCTTATGTTAGAAAGAATAGGTTGTTGATATGAGCATCCACATTGTTTAAATGAAGGTATACATGATGAAAATAAGAAATGAAATTGAAGAAAACAAAGGAGAACAAAAACAATCATATGTGTCATATTGATTATTTTAATCGAATTTAGTTTGGTTTTTCCTTATTAACAAATATTTTCAATAAACATCTGTTATTGTTCTCATCATAGAATATTTTGACATCGACGCAATATTGTTTTTATTTCGTTCTTATAGAAAATATAAGATTTAAATAAAATTTTTAAAAAAATGACAATATATGTTTATGAATATAATTATGTACGATATTCTGGATGTTGACTAAAATAATTTTTAACTAATTGAAGTGATCGACTTCGATGACTAATTCGATTTTTTTCTATTTTCTCCATTTCAGCAAATGTTTGATGACCTGGCTGTCCTTTTTCATTATCCGGTTGAAATATTGGATCCCATCCAAATTGATTTGGTCCACGTGCTTGAACGATTCTGCCTGGACATTGGCCATCAAATATAATTGGTTCACTTGTTGGTCCAGCACAAAATGCAAATATACATTGAGCATATGCTGTTTTATCATCATAACCAGCAAGTAATTTATTTAAACCATCATGTCCTAATTTATCTAAAAACCATTTTATATATGGTCCTGGAAGACCATGCAAAGCATTAAAACATAAAGATGTATCTTCAATTAAAACTGGACCATTAATACGTTGAGCAGCTAATTTAGCTTTTTCTTTAGAGATTTCTTCTGGTTCACCTTGATATTCTGGTACTATTAAATAAATAAATAAATAATCTTTTGTTTTCATTTCATGTTTATCTTATACTTACAATCAAGCTCTGCTGATTTTAAATTAGGTAATACATCAGCTAATATTGCTTGAACTTCAGCTAACTTATTTTTGTTTCCTGTAACAAAAGTAACTACCATTTTGTTCTACCTATAAAAGTAATGAATGGCGATTTGTTCTCGTTCTGTGATATAAAAGAGAAAAAAAAAATACCAAAAACTTGTTAAATATTCTTCGTTGTCACAACAACAACAACAAAAAAATTTTCCTTTTGTAAAAAAAGAATTAATCAAATCATCGAATAGTAAAATATAACGATGATGAAATACTTTATACTATAAGTCGTATGACTAATTTTTACGTCATGCATAACAAAAATTTGGCAAATGTTTTGCAATCGTATTTATTATTATTATCATGAAACACACATATATAATTTAGAAAAAAAACTGTTTTAAGGCACCATATAACAATCAATCAAAGAATATTATGTATTTGATGATGGAATATTTTCAGTATATATTTGTGGTTCTTTAAGAAATGTTTGTAATCGTAATGGTAGATCAAGATCATCAATACGATCACGACGTATTTGCCGATGAATAACAAACCGGGTTATATGTTTTAATGATGTCATATAAGCATGACGGGACACTGGGTATAATAGACGAACTGGTGTCATTGGTTGACCTAGATGAAAAAAAAACTTCAATTGAATATTCTGAGACCAATCAAATTATTTTAATGAGAAACTAGAACAAAAGATAGATGTTGCTTTTTTTTTGAAAAAATTAGTTTATCTCTGATAGAAATTATGAAGAGTACCAATACACATTTTTTACTAGAGTTTCTTTTTTAAATAACGGGAGGATGCCAAACACAAAAATAAAGAGTTGAACACTACATGATCTCATACTACCACTAGAAATATTGAGTCATTCGACCTTGAAGGTATAAATTTGACTTTTCTTCTTTGAAGACAAACGAATTTCTTTTTCATGTACATAACTATATTAATACTATTTTTATCATGTTAAATGGTTAGATAAGGTTTAGGCTCTTTCAATAAAAATGAATACTATACTCAGAACTTTGGAGTGTATCAAGTATTAACAGAACTAAGGCTTTTTATGAGGACTTATGAGAGGAGTTTTGAACCGGGCCGAAGTTTTAATGTCTCGTGAGAAAGGGCCGATTAATGTATATATTATTGTAGTGTTTGATAATAGCAAAGCGACAATACGTTTTACCTGAAAGAAATCTTCATCGATTTAATAAAAACCAATCACTCATTGTCTTTTTCACGCCCTCACCGCACTTAGGCTACTATCTTATCTTATTCTGAAAACTCTCGCAATCACCCTCATCATGAAATCTCAAGTTAATTTATCTGTGGATGTCACTCTTATTTCTAATAATTACTATATGACCTGCTATTTATATCCTTATGCTCTATTCCATGCTGTTAGAAATGAATATTTGAACTAAAAGACACTTTATTCAGACTCCATATTATGATAACAGTTCACTTCAATGTTTACAGAGTACTTCCACACAATAACTGGATATTAATAAGTTTAACGTTTTGTTTACTAGTCAATAGGCTATGAAAGTACCTACGACTAAGTTTTTTTTTTCGAATACATACCAGGTATATTAGATCGAATAAAAAACATAAATTGACCAGATTTTGAATGTTGAATTATATTTTCAATAAATTCTACTATATCTGATGATGTACACTGTGATTTAGTACTACTATGATAAAAACCAAATGAATCTACAAAGTAAAAGTTTTTATTCTATTTATTTTATAAAAAAGAAAATTGTTGAAACTAAACTGTTACTATGTTCAATTCGAGTATGATGAATATTGCCTTGTGATTTAAATGTAACTGCAAGAAAATAATGACGATGATTACTATCTCGAACAATAAATGAATAATCTTGTTTGTCTTTAAGTAATCGTTCAGCATCAATCCAACTTAATGGACCCCAATACCAACCAACCTGTATATAAGAAAATAAATATTTAACAAAAATGATATATTCTATTTATATACTTCTTTTAATCTTTGTAAACTATCTAATTGAGCAATCATTGGAGATTTATTTTCATTATCTATATAGACAATATGAAATCAATCATAATTTTTTTTTTTTCATTACATTTCTAACCTGTTAATATTTCTGATCGGTTATTCATTTTTACTATTGGTTGTTCGATAAAATTTTCTTTCATTATCAATTGAACATAAAGAGTTAAATACATTTTTTCGATATTTCATATCGATTATTAAATAAGAAAATAACAGGTAAAAAGACGTTCATGATATTATTTCTTTTCTGTTCATGTGTTTGTCTATGAACGTTCAATGATGTAACACAATGACCAATTAAATAATTGTGGATAGATGGCACTAACGAGGGAACATTCCCAAGTGTCACATCGCTTTTGAGTCGAGAGTATGAGCATCATATAGGCCCTAATGATCTATGGATAACCTGAAAAAAGTTGCCGCTTCTAGCTTATTGCT